TGGGGGGAACCTCAATCCTGCTGCACTTGGCGGAGGGCCCTGCCTGCACCTCCTGCGCCTCCGCTCCATCATCTGCCATGCTTGACCGAAGAGATGTTTCGCAGCAGATAGGCACCAGACGCTTAGCCAGCCGGCAGAAGCATGTCCACGGATTCTCAGTGGAGGGAGGGCCGCCCGAGGGTCGGAAACCTCCCTTCCAGCCACCCCCGGGGGATCCAGGCACAGGAAATGGAAGACAGGCCTGGCCGGTGCCCCGGACAAGGCCTGAGCTTCCTGGCGGCGATCCGCAGCTGAGGGGCTGAGGCAATCTGCTTGCAATCCAATGGCACGCTCCAAACGACCTGCTCTGCACGAAGCTCAGTAGAAAATGGCGGCCACTGCGCGCGCAGCTCTGGGCAAAAGCGTACAAACTACCAAAATGGCTGCCGCTGTCCCTGTCGGTCTGACAGAGCACCGCCGCAGCCGCCGGGGCACTCAGCCACCCGTGCAGCCCTCTAAACGCAGCGGTGGAGGAACCACACGGTTCGGAAAGACTCCCACCTGTCCCCATGCTCGCCGGCCACCACCAGACAAGCTACTCACTGTTTCCTGCCCCACATGCGACCAGTGGGTGGAGAAACGGACCAGTGCCCTCTCAGCGGATGCAATCAAGTAGAAGGTACGAAGATCTCGTAGAGTAGTGGAAAAGAAATTTTTTTTGGGAGAGAAATCGAGCTTGGGGAGTCCAGATATCTGCTCTAGGACTGGAGTGCTCCCCAAAACAGTCCAAATGGGCGGACTGAGTTTTAAAACTGAAATAATGGAGGCAAAGGGAGGCGTGGCCAAGAGAGAAAAAACTCACTCAGTCCTAGGGCAGATAGACTGTGTTAACCCACGCTTGGACTCTCCAAGCAGCGCACTGGAGAATTTGTGTATTCATGGTTTAAATGTTGCAAACATGCAGTCAAGAAATCAGAAAAATAAATCAAACAGTAAAAAACTTAATATACTATACATCATTTAATACTTATAAACATTTTACTGTTATGTTGTAAGAGTAACACCATAAATTAGACTGATTTCTACAATAAAATGCTGCAGTTGGCAATATTTGTAACATCTACATGCCACTTTTCAACTAGATTCTGAAACTGCTATGTAACAAACAATAATTTAAAAGCACATAAAATACAAATAAAATAAATAATTGCAGTAGAGCAGGAAAGGTTAACTTCCCAAAACTTACTGTAACAGTCTTATTGTATAAATCATGGATGGTGGAATAATCAAACCAACTCCCAGCAGCCCCAACCAGGATAGGTGTTGGTGAACAATACCAGAAATGGTACTTTGGCATATGTTCCTCACTCCTAGCGTGAGTACTGGGGGACTACAAGTTGTTCTTGATAAACATGACCATTTAAAGGTAATTGTAAAGGTTTCCCCTGTCCAGTTATGTCTGACTCTAGGGGGCGGTGCTCATCTCTGTTTCTTAGTTGAGGGAGACAATGTTGTCCGAAGACACTTCTGTGGTCATGTGGCCAGTAGGACTATATGCCAAGGTGCATGGAACACTGTTAACTTCCCACCAAAGTGGTACCTATTTATCTACTTGCATTTGCATGCTTTCGAACTGCTAGGTGAGCGGGAGCTGGGGCAAGTAATGAGAGCTCACCCTATCATGCAGCACTCAGGTCTTTAATCTGGGCTGTCAGCTTTCCAGCTGACAAGCTCAGCGTCTTTAACCACTGAGCCATCATGCCCCCCAAACATGACCATATAGTATGTCATTAATCTGGCTCTGTATGTATGTGCCACTATATACAAATGAAAAAAGGCTCTTTGGAGAATGGAAAACACAGTTCTACTACTCAAATGCATAGATCCAGTACATGGAGAAGGGCATTATTTTTGTCCTAATAAAATGCTTTCCATTGAGGACCTATATACTGCAAGAGCCAGAAAGAGGTCTGTGAAAGTATCTACAGACCCCTCACATCCTGGACATAAACTGTTTCAACTTCTTCCCTCAAGATGATGCTATAGGGCATTGCACGCCAAAACAACCAGACACAGAGTGTTCCCCCCCACCCCCCATGCTATCACTCTGCTAAACAACTAATTCCCACAACACTGTCTATGCCCTAGGATGTCAAACCACCAAGTAGGGCTGTATTAACCTATTAGCATTCTCGCCTTTTCATCTTTCCTATTACCTATTTCCTAAGCTTTTTATGACTATAACTTTGTTGTTTGTATCTCACGATTTATGTTGATTGCCTTTCTTTATTATCCTATTATGATTCATGTTGTTTGCGTATTTAGTATCCTATAACTATCACTCAGTTTGTATCTTATGATTTATTATTGTATTTTATGATTATGATCATGATTTATCACTTGTTGCTAGTATATACACTAAGAACTTATGCACCGAAGACAAAATTCCTTGTGTGTCCAATCACACTTGGCCAAATAAGAATCCCATAATTTATTGATTCTATGGGAGACACATACATCTTTAATCTTAAAATTATAGCACAGGATCTCTGTTGAAGACCTTTGGGTTGCATTTAGCCTGAAAGTACTCTGATTAAAATAACTGGAACTTTAGTTGTGACTTAAGTCGCATTGCTTTCAATATGACTACTCCAAACATACAGTAAGCCTGGAATGAACTCTAGGTACATATTAGTTATGCATTCAAACATATGAAATGTTGAGGTCAGTATTGAACAAATATTTTTCATTATCTCCAGCAGGTTTAACTAAAAAACACCCTACCGATGTCAATAAAAATGTTATCATCTGAAGATGAATTTATAAACTATTTTATCAAATATTACTATTTCTAAATTTTGGAAATATAATTTTTGTAAAACTGGATGCATACCTGTTATTTAGTAAGATGTTAGAACATTTAATATCTCGATGTAAGAAATTCTTTTTATGGCAGTAATCCAAGCCTTCCATCAACTGCTTCATGAAAGTTTTAATATGACTTTCATCAAAATGAACCAAGCCAGACTCCATAAGCCCCATTAGATCATGATCCATATATTCAAATACAAGGTAGAAAGCACCTGGAAAAAATTATGATCATCTTATATCTAGCTAAATTTTAAAGAATGCCATTGCTTATTCAGACTATAGCAATAAATCTTGCTTAGTTAACAGAGTTCATACACATATTGTTCCATTTGTTTAGTATATACACAACACTTTGTCTGAAGGGAGGGGACATTTCACATTTAAATGTCTTTATCTCAACCATCACCTTTAAATACTATGTGGAAACAATACAAAATATATTCTGATTTGAAGGTTTATTTATTAAGTCACAATAAAATGGTCAAATTAAAAAGGGAAATATGTATTTGTGAGATGGAGTGATCAGTGGAAAAAGGAAAAGGGGCCACAATAGTACTCATTGGCTGGATACTATAAAGGATAACCATGCCAGATATAAAGGAGGCAGAGGGGCATGGAGAGTGCTGATCCATAGAGTGGCTGAGGGTTGGTCATGACTGAATGGCTGATGACAACAAGATGGATGAAAAGAAAATGAGTTAAAATAACAGGTAGTCCTGAAGTTGCAACCACTCATTCAGCAACTGTCCAAAGTTACAATGGAGCTGAATGAGTGGTATGTACGACTGGCCCTTGAAAGTTCTGGCCATGGCAGAACCCCTGTGGTCACANGTAACCAGTGCAGCTCACAAAACAGAGGTGTAATGTTTGACTAGTTCAAACATTCAGCAGGGAGAAGGAAGCACTTAGCACTAAAAAAAGTTAGTTAAAAAAAGCAATATTCAAGGGAAATTAAGAGCTCCATCATTGAGTCCAAAGAGGACCCTCAGCAAAGGTTATCATCATGATGAAAGGCAAATGCCTCTCTTGCAGTCTTAAACTTATGAACGTGAAAAGAGAAAATCGGCTGTGGGAGATGAAGTACTGAGGACTTGTTTTTCCTCTGCAGTCCTCAGTTCTCTTGCCTCACTTATACTCTCTGTGGTAGCCAGATGCTGTTCAGATACTGTTTCTGGTCAGCCAAATAGAAACTACCACAATATATTACTAGAAAAACATGATGGTATAAGCAGAACACTGTCTATGAAGAGAATGTTCAGGTAAGGTTTATACTGAAGAAAGGAAAGATATTCTATGATTCTCAGTGCTGTTAAAAGCATCAAATCATACCCCAAGTATTCAGAAATTTTCACTAAAATTAAAATTTAAAAATTCTGCAAAGATAGAAGTGCCTCACCTGGAGCTGGAGGTGTTGGCTCCTATAATTTCTTTCATAAATCACACACCTTTTCCCTTTGGCTTTGAAGAATTTTTTCAGCACAGACTTGTACTGTTCAAATTCTTCCACTGCTTCTGAACCAAGCTCGACCATTGACTGATAGTGTCCAATGGGCAAAATAAGGACATGATCAGGTGACAAGCCCCCTTTGGCAAGGGCAAGATAGCACTATAAAAAGAACCCAAGAAACAGTGGTGAGAATCATTAGCACTCCGTAGCCAATCCCTTCATGCTATTAATGTTAAACCGATAGGAACAGGATTGACATTCTGAAATGTTATATTGTCCGAAACATTCCACTCACAAAGAAACAAGTTACAGTCAGAGAAAATTCTTTTAAAAAGTCATTAGAAGTTTTTATGCCACTTTATTGACAAAAGAACCAGAGAGAAAACAGATTATCATTAAATGCAATGAGGATTGTGCAGGATGGTGCCAAACAATAATCAAAGAATTGTGGAAAAAGAGAGATTGTCAACATCTGTTTAATGGTGACAGAAAAATGTATTATGAATAACTTTTAGGAATGAAAAACATTACATTACTCATTANAAACAGAAACGACCAGTAAGTAATCATTTTAACTTCTATCTCAATTGAAATGTGACCATATCACCCCCAATGCCTATAGGTCCATTTTGCCTGAATGTTAGCAAAATGCTCTAACAGTAGGAACAGTCCAACAGTGAAACCAATTAATTACAGAGAAGTGTTTGTCCACATCGCCATTTATTAAAGAAACTTTAATTTGGATTCCTACGGCCCAGGCTGAATAGGGTGTCCAAGGACATTATTTAAAAAATTAAAAATTAAGAAAGATGTAAGTAAATTAAAAGCCCAATATGTCAAATTGAGAAATTCAACATAAGCCATAAGAAACAGACTCCATATGACTCTATTACTGTAAGACGGTATACAATCTTATAATTTCTTCAGAAATCATATAATTGCTTTCTTAAAAGTAAGACGTTTAAAATTTTAACTGAGCTCATATAGATGACTTTATTCCCAGCTAATAACGCTAGCCAACAGTTGATAGGAAGATATTTTATCTGCTGTTCACATATAAAAAAAACACACATTCTCATTAAAAATATTCATTTGAGCAAACTATATTTTAACCATTCTCCAAGACTGTTCATTAAGCCAGTAGTCTCTCTCTCTCTCTCTCTCTCAATATACTGTATATAGTTATTTAAAAACCCAACCACCTTACAGCGAAACTTAGAGCTGAACAGAAAGCAGTGATTGCTTATCTGCATTGCACATCTGACTTCCCGTATTTTCCTAAAACAGAGTTAACATGCACCTGGCCTGGGCATGTTTTTCCTTTTGTACAATCAGCTTGCAACCAGCACTAGCTTCTCACCACCTCCTCTATTTATACAGCAGAGGATTGAGGCTTCCACTGCTTTCAAAGATTGTATTCTTTTCTTTTAGTGCATGACCTAGATAGCAGTGATTTACTGCCAGAGCACAAGAACTTGGGGTACTGTGTGATGCGAACTGCAAATCTACCTCCAATATCAGAGGATTTAAACTACTTCCCCAATCTAGGAGGATTCGTAGTTCTTAAACTCACTGGCTGGAACAGAGGGGTCAACTGCAAAAGAAAACTTTTTAGGAGCGCCTCTTCTGAAGGCCTTCTGGAAGCCACAGGCCAATAAGTGCAGACAAAATGAGGCCCAACCTGTAGACAAGCAAGACTTCATAAATAAATAATCTTCAGTACAACACTGATTCCTGACAAATAAAAGGCCTAGCCATGTCCTAGCCAGCAGGAAAAGTGAACTCCAACCCCTGCAAAATTCCTGTGGCTTGACAGGAAGCTTCAAAGAAAAGCTGTTCTTCAAGAGAGCTTTCCCACTTCCTTTCAGATACTCAATCCGACTGGGCAAAATCAAAAGGCTCAAAGGCTTGACGGAAGTCTTGGACTGCAGCAATTTCTTCATCCCGTCCTGTCTGGCAGCTTCTCCAGTCTGCCCGCTCAGGCATGCCAAGGATGGTCTCACTGGCCAGCACCTCCCTGTGGAAAACAGCAGAATGCAAACTAGTGTTACTCTATCATCATGCTCCAAGTTCCCAATACTGAAGACTGCTTAGCCATATATTCTAAAGGCTACTTGATGGATCTCCACTTGAGGATAATGCATAGGGGTAAATAAAACCTAACAAGGAAGAAAAGATACAATAAAAATAAAAATGGTGACACAATCCCAACTGAGAACAAAAACAGGGGTTAGCAACTATAAAGCTACAACTTGTCTTTACAACACTCTTTCATTCCATTTGATAGGAAAAGTCCAGAACAAAAGGCTTCTGAATGGTCTATGTAATAGTTGGTCTTGGTTATTCTGTAATCTTTCTATTATTCTTTTTTCTGCTTCTGGATGTTTATTGTGCTTTGCTTTTATTCTCTGTGTTTTTTATGTTTCTATCCAAATGTAAGCTGCCCAGAGCCAATCAGTGATTTGGGTAGCCACTTAAATCACACTTTAAAAAAAAGAGAGATTAAATAAGTAGAATAAACTAACCTTCCAAACTGCAAGGGAAAGTTTTTGCTAATACGATGGAAGAGTTTCTCTCCATTATCAAGCTCAACATAGAAATACGGTGTCCCTGGCTGAATTATCTGAAAGACAAGAAACATTTCCATGTAGCAATATTTTGTTCATCCCTTCCAAAGAGGAGTCTGGATGATTAAAACAATGAAACAAATGAGCACATATGATCTTTGAAACATGTTTACCAGGTTACCAGGAAAATGAAAACGAGTGGCAAAGTTGCGGTGCAGCCGGATATTTGCTCAGTAAGCAATTTTTCATTCACATCATTCAGGATGTGACATAACTGGATTAAGGCTTTAATACTTTTTGTAAACTCATAGGTCTTTTTAAGCAGACAGCTTTTAACAAGTGACAACAAATATGGGCTAAAGTATTTAGGGACTAAAGTGATGCTGGTAATTTATTTGTTATTCTGGTTACATTTAGATGTAATATATTGGCAGAGATGCTCTTTATGAGAGAAAAAGGTTTGTTAAATTACAGAAGGACATGTGACAGGGGTGTTGTGAAAGGGATATCTTTAATTTCGCTTTCTTTAGATGTAATTCTTTAGATATAATTTAACTGCAGGAATTACCAGCCAGTGGCAATAGCTGTTGGAGCTGAGGACCCTGCTGCTAGAAAGTGCTCAGACTGAGGAAGCCTGATAGAGGAAACACTCTCTGATAATATGTAACATGTAATAAAAATAAACACTGGAACTTCTGACTCAGTATCCTGCCATCTGCTTAGTAATAAAGGAAATGGGAATATAAAAGAACATGCTAGGCTGAGATCCAACTCTTGCATTCCCAGATTCCCTTGCAACAACTCTCTGAGATAAACAAAGAAAACAATAGCTTGACTCTTACTTGTTTGAGAGCTGAATGTTCTGGTATCTCTAACAACTCAATGTGACGTTCCTCTGCTTGACTTATGAAGGCTTCCTTAATGTCTTCAGTAACACAACAGGCCTGGGGTACAGGAACAACCTAGAAGAATATTTTCACAGCACTTAGGAAGCACTTAGCACTAAAAAAAGTTAGTTAAAAAAAGCAATATTCAAG